TTGTTGTGCCATGTATACTCATATTGGACAACCAAGAAAATTAGCATGGACAAATTCTCATATTTTCGGTATAGTATATACTCAATTGCACTTTGCATACTTTACGCAAACAACCTGTAGTGCCAAGGATAAGATCAACATAGACGAGGCTTTCAGTGTTCTAGTAAAACGCATTCAGGAGGACCGAAGAATACAAGCCGCCAGGAAGGCCGAGTATGCCCAAAATGCACAAGCAAACAAGAAGAGTAAGGGAGGCAAAGACAAAGGAAAAGGGGGTGATGGCGAGGGGTCTGGCAGCAAATCCAATGGCAAGAAAGGATGTACTATCCTGTGAGAAGGCGTCATGTAGAGACTTTTAAAATAAGAACCGCTAGGATTTGGACTAGATCCACTCGTTAGCCCACTGGTCCTTCAACGAAGATCACGCGTCAACACGTGATGGGGATTACCATGTCTACTAAAAGACCTGACCTGAGACCAAGATCAGTCAGTAAGCGGCGTCATCGTCTTCCCTTGGTGGATCTGAGCGTACCTACTACCTCCAGGGGCACACATCGCCTGATTGTCACGTGCGTAGTAGTCTGATGGCATGTCGCGTGTTTGACCAGGGCACGCATGTTCTGGCCCGTACTTGGCGGCTTAGAGCTGTTAAGTGTGCACATTGGGTATAAAACCACGCGTGTCTCAGCTCAGAATATAAAGTACGAGCATGTGGCATTGAGTGTGCTGTATATGAGATACTTCGGGCGGATTATATGGCCTCGAGAGGGCAACAGCAGCATTCTTCAGCGATCATGATGTACGATCAAAATAAAAAGGTTTACGAGAAAACTGCGACGTGCGATTCTGAACCAATTGAAGTTCACTCAATATGCGTGGGGGATTTTGACCTCACATACGGTTTGTGATTTCAAATCAAAGATTGGCTCACATATGTCAATTTGAAAGCAAAGAAACCTGATCAAGAAGATAGGCAGGTAGACATACAAATCTTTTGAATTCAGGCCCAAATTTTGACGCCCATAAAGAGTAAAATATGAAGTTGAGCATTGATAAGAAATATGGTTAGGTTGATGTTCGACTGAATCCTTGACTTTTGATCACGCCGATGAGTCTCTGAACAGCAAACTCCTTCTTAGCAGTGCATATTAGACCCTCCCAAAATGCTATTTTATTTCAAAACATAGGCCTACAGGTGTTGTAGATGGATGTAGCAGATGTGCTCGATATCCGAGCACATGTTACGGGTCTCTCCATCAACACGCCTTGAGTTTTCCATCTGTGTTGATATTTTATCTCCATTGCGCTTCTGGCACCAATGACAGCTCGGTGCTCGTCATACACAACTCTTCACTAAGTAAGCAGAGCACATCATCTGCATTGTTCAAAACGTTCACTCCATTAGAGATATATACTGTCAAAAAAGTGGCGTAGGCACATAGCGTCCAGACACGACGTGTGATTGGTTTTTTCCTTTCTGTTAAGACGGGGTTTTATTACAATTGACTTGAAATTAAAGGTGCTCCGATATGTGTGGTCTCATATCGGACTATATACTCCACTTGAAACTACAAATGCCATTCCGATATGCTCGGTTCCATATCGTCTTATATTTTCCTTGTACCTACATATGCTCTTTTGCGATGTAATGATTGTACATTGTCGACGCCGCATCTCTCGCAGTGCTTCGAATGCGATATTTTTCACATCTTTTGAGCATTTCACTATATTCTGCTTCGACGTCCGATTCTGTCAATATGTATAGATGTTGTGACCAGCTTCCCTTCCGGTATAAATAGTTTTCCGAATTCATGACGTATCTAATTCCGACAAGCATGGTCTCCATATATCGAACTCAGCTTCCCGTTCGATATGAATAGATTCAGAGTGCATTCCGTATCTACTAACGATTCAGCAAGGTTCCATATTGTATTCAGCATTTCTTCGAGGACGTGGCACCCATTTGATGCTGTGCTACCACGCTTATTTGAACTTCGCTGGAACTCAGAATAAATGGCTGTATAGACAAAGGTAAATGAGATACACATAGAACATTAGCTACTCGCTTATTTGAAGTTCACCAGAGGCTCAACCAAAACGGTTGTATGGAACAAGAGAGACATAAGGCAAGAAGAAGATTAGCTAAAAGGATCGAGTATTGGTGTTCTTCTAATGAAGTCCAACAACCGCCAATCATATCGCAACTATTCGTGACCTTTGGTAAGTAAGTATACCCTTGACAAAACATCAAGTACAGGGATGTGCATACCTATGATTAAACGTCAAGTACAGGGATGTGTATACCTAAGATGAAACATCAAGTACAGGGATGTGTATACCTAAGATGAAACATCAAGTACAGGGATGTGTATATCTATGATAAAACATCAAGTACAGGGATGTGTATACCTAAGATAAAACATCAGGTACAGGGATGTGTATACCTATGATAAAACATCAAGTACCGGGATGTGTATACCTAAGATAAAACATCAGGTACAGGGATGTGTATACCTATGATAAAACATCAAGTACAGGGATGTGTATACCTAGGATAAAATATCAAGTACCGTGTATACCTATGATAAAACATCAAGCACCGGGATGTGTATACCTAAGTTAAAACATCCAAGTACAGGGATGTGTATACCTAAGATAAAACATCAAGTACAGGGATGTGTATACCCATGATAAAACATCAAGTACAGGGATGTATAGAATATTCGCCATATATGCGCTCCTATGTTTATCTTTGACATTGAAAAAAAAATGTATTTATGATCTATGGTCGTACATGATGAAACACATACGCACAAAGAAAAATAATGGCCTATATGTCATAAAATCCGACGACTGCGACTCATCAACTGCTAATTAAGACAGCGTGGCTATAGCAGGTGAGGATTCTAGGTCAATCCCACGTGGTTTGTGGCTGGTTACCATCTATACAAACGAAAATCATGCATACGAATGGCACGCACAAGAAAGAACTGATCGAGATATATATCATCACAAATTCACAAAGTCCATCAAACATTCACTATATATCTTCCTATCTATACATAAAAACATTCGCTCAACATTCAAGTTCAAGACCCCTATCTACCATATCGTACCAGAGTGTTGGCAAGTTCCTCAAAATCAACACACCTCTCCATCATATTGTACTGGGATATCGTTCTTTATCTTGAATCCCACTTTACGGCCCTGCGCAAGGCGCTTGCCTTTTTTCATCCCCATCTTCATGAACGCAGTATGCCAGAAGCCACCCACACCCACCACCTCTGTAGGGATGTCAATAGGAGACAAAGGCATGTAAGTATGTGACTTAATAAAGTATGTGACATATTAAGTATGTGACTGATTAAGTATTTGACTTGTTAAGTATGTGAGTGTAACATGACAAACAACACCGTAACAGTGTGAAAAAAACATAGCAAACAAAGGCGTGTAAACATGCGATAGTCGAATCATGTGACAAAGACATATAAAAATGTGTCAGAGGATGTCAACACTGACAATCGTGTATACGCGGAGGGACATGCATATTTGCGTCATAAACCCGAGAGCCTTAGCCAGAAGCAATATTGCTTTCGGTCGAAGTTCGTTGGGATGCTATTGGTGCGGGCATATGCCTCGACCCGAAAAACATGGCCATACTTTGTGTGTCTAAATACCAGAAAAACATGACCATACTTTGTGTCTAAACAAGTACCTAGAAGAATACAGGGACATATATTAAGGGTCGGCATACATATTCGAAACCCCAAATAGCAGTCGCAACTGCAAAAGACTTCCAACAGAGTGGCACGTTCTGTCAGCTCATCATTGAGGACACTCACTGAGGTACAATTAATTGTTAACAACACATTTAAACAGTCCGATGGTTGAGATGAACACACATTAAACGCGTCTACTACTACCCGAACTTACTCACACCGCATATAATAATTTCAAGCCGTTAAGATCCGCACCTATCAAGCCGTCGTCTAATTTTTGGGGGGTTAAAGTATCATTGGGTTTGAACTTTTTACCCCAAAGATCGATTCCGCCGGCATAGCTTGGTATGTTGACTAATACCAAACCCTTCATGCCTTTTGGAATCTGTGTATTGACGAGACAGCAAGTTTCAGTAAGGATTGTTGCGAGCTAGCAAACTAAAAGGCTTACGAATATATATTGAACGTACAAAAATGTACTCTATACTATGAAAACTATCGAATTAAACACGTACACGAAGGTAAAACGCAAATTTCCAGTCGATTTATATATATATATATATATATATATATATACACACACACACATACACACACTACTAACAATATATACATATATACATATATTATTTATTAA